AGTCAAGGAAATGATGCTCAGTGGTTGGTGATTTCAGTAGATCAAAAACACGGAAAACAAGTACGGTTTCTATAATCTCATATTATCAAAGACTAGCTCTAAACATGTGAAGCCTGTCGTCGATAGGAAAATTCACTGGCATATGTTCGCTGTTTTGTGTTTGTGAACTCTGATACGTCACAATGTTTGCATGTACCAGTGTTCAGATTATTATTCAACTTATCAATGAATGACTTCAGTTGTACTTTCAACGTTAAACTAAGTTACCTACCACGGGCCTGCTGTGAGAAAAGGAGTTCTTGAAACGAAACAGGGTGTCGCTGAAAGACTACTCACTCGGTGAAAACACAAGGGAGTCAAACAAGCAGAGGTTGTTTGTGTCAGTCTCACCCAGTAAGTCATGCACATAAAGAATGCATTTGTGTATACACCCCATAAGCTTCAAACGGGAAGTTTAAATAACTTTAATTCCCAAAATTGTTGTCCATATAAATGTCATCAATTGCGCTGGGATTGCGCTACACAAGGCGTTTTGTTAACTGATGATTATAGTTAGAAGTGCAATCAGTATAATTCAAAGATTTTATTCGTTCTGAAGTCGTACAATTATTACTGATATGCCGGTCAAAATCCCCGGGTCAAAGTCAGTCTGCTAATACGTAATTGGTGCTAGGATATTGATTTCTTTGGTGCAGTGTTGATCGCCAGTGACCCGAAACAAGAGTCGACACATGATAAACCACACGCACACCACAACATCCTGTACTCGCGTTTAGTGTAACTTTATGGACAAACCTCACTTTTCTTAATCCAAAAATTGCAAAGACAAATCGATGTAAAAGCTAACTCTGCAAGGCGTTGTCTTGCCCCTTTCCCTAACGGTGGTTCGCTCCCGCTTCAAAACTCTAGTTTCCTTCGTTTGTGGGTAAGCTAAATAAGTCTTATTATAATTGGCTTCCCTGGGCTTCCCTACCTTACAGATTGAAATTTCTGTAAATATATTTATAAATGGATAACATAAACATAAACAAACTAATAAAAAAGTGAAAAGAACTTATAAAATAATCAAATTGAGCTACGGACGTCAAAACCCCTCCATGGGAATACATTATTCTTGTGTGAGCCATGTTGCCATTTGTACGATTACTTTTAGTACTAACTTAGCCTCTTCCAGGCGTTCAGGAGAAGTGCGGCGAGAGGAAGAGAAAGAACGCTTTGTATCGCCGCACTTCGCCCATATGTTTTCGCTCGCCGTTTTTCGCGCTGCGCCCTAACTAACTGAACGCTAGCGCACGAACGTTGAGCACGTCATCAGGACAAACAACGGGGAGAAGTACATAACTAACATTGAATCAAACAACAAGACATGTTTTTAAAAATTATAAATTAGGTTTTATTAAGGAAATATCATTTTACTTTCATTCCAGCATCTCTATATATTAATAAGCTCTTATAATTTGACTGCGAGCTCCAAGGCTTTTACCAGATAACAGTTACCGGAAGCGGCGATTCGAAGTCGATAGAAACCGAGGGGGCGGGCAGCCAAATTATTTTAACAAAATAGCAGTAATATATTAAATAGCGATAAAACCGGTTTATTCATAAAATGTTTTGGTCTTGATATACGAAGAATTGCGCACACACTCTGAAGGCATTTTTATCGATTGATAGCTCATTTTCACACCTTTTCGACATAAGTCACCAACATAAGATATACAGACAAATAAACTGCACAAGAAATTCAATCCTAGAAAAAAGTACTAGCTTAACTATATTTTATCCGCTAAACTTTGCGAATAAAGCCCGTTTCAAAATCCTTTAAAATATTCATTTCTAACCCAGAGCATTACTATTGTCAAGTCTCATCCAAAATCCAAGAATGTACCACTGATTAAATTTACTGATATCCAAAATCTAAGCTACACTTTTGTGTACTTTGAGGATAATAACCGTGTTTATGGCATTAGAAAAATACCTTAATGGCTGATAACTACAGTTAGCCCCTCCCCAAAAAAATTGCACCATTGACAAACCTCGGAAATAACCAAAGGAGCTACCACCTGACTGGTCTGTCTGGACAGCAATTTGTTGTATGAAACACAAAAATAAGCTTCTATCAAGATTTCAAAAGTATGTAAGAGTTTATGATTAAATAATAATGTAACAGCAAGTGTAACAAACACGGACATGCTTCCTTAATTTAACCTCTCAATAAAAATAGATAAATAAAACATGTAAATTTGAAAAAGGGTCGTGAACGAGATTCATTTACTCATTTAACTTTGTAAATGAGTTGATGCACTCATCACACGCATACAAATGCATCAATTAAATTCACACTGTTCACCCAGCGTCACTTCCATGAGGAATGATTATGTATGGAATGCATCGCATGTTCTTGAGTATATTTACTGGTTCTCTTGTTTTGTTTTGCTGTGTCGTTTACTAGCATTCTTCCACTTCTCCCAGTACCTCGTCTAAAACTGAGCACAGGTGGTCCGCGTCTTTCTTTGCAAAACACATTGGAGGCTTGATCTTTAACACATTATTGTGGGGTCCATCAGCAGATATGAGAACAAACCTGTCTTTAGCCCTGTGAGAACAAGACGAGTTGAAGTGCTCTCAGTATAATGCATCTAACTTCACTTTTCTATGTAATAGCAAATCGAGGCATGGAGTTGACAATCTGAGCACCTCAGGAATAACGTCTTGACATCAAAACAGAAGTCGCTCAATAATTTAATAAAATGTAAGAGAACAATAAATAATACTTTAAAGTTCAGGTTGGTATATGAAGAGGTCAGCAAAGATGGAACTGAAAGTGGACAGGCTACAGGTAATATTTTTCCTCTTGATAGAGGGACAAAAAAAGGAGCCTAGCACCCCGTTATAGAGCTTTTGCATGCACTGTTGCACATAGTAGATGGACACTGAAATTGTTGCATACTACGTTAAAAATAAGAACGCAATTTTACTCTGCGTACAAGAAGTTAAGGGCTGGACACGTTGTGCTAATGTTGTAACGACTATGTCTGGTCCTTAAACGTATTCTCACTTGTAAGTAATTCTTTTGGCTTCCTCTGTGGCTGGTTCTTTTGTTGTTTGATCAGTCACCAACTCTACTCCAATGAACAGTCCCATACCCCTGAAAAGACAAGAACCAAATGAACACAGCTTTAAAATGTACAGTAATGACACGATCCGTACAAGTTCACTCAAAACTGTACACGGTTAGCCACCACTTTTGAACGATTTATAGTTGCCTGAGGCACGAGGAAACAAATTCACTCCTATTTACTACCATAACGATTTTATTTTGCGTCCGTGATGCTTATTTTGATTTGCGAGCTTTGAAAAGGCGGGATGCTTATTGTAGACATAATGATATAGTGATTATTATGGACTAGCGCACATTTCTTTTATGAATTTGCAAAATGAAAGCGTTCTTGGAAATTTCCTTTAGTTTATTTCACAGAAAAAAAAAAAAAATTCATTGACCATAACAAGGACATTATCAGCAACACTCACTGACTAATCCTGTAAATATAAAAGTTCTTTTCCTGACTTGGACAAGAACTTTTAAATTATCAAATGATTAAAAAAAATAATGTAAGTTGTGAATCTGGTAGCACATCAACTAAATGATGATTTTCTGTATTCTCGTTACCCGTCTCCATGTCCAACTTAATACTGTTAGGAGAAATAAGCTGTTGGTCACTACCTGACTTCTCCAATAAGTCTGTGTTTGGTTTGTAGCTGTAGGAGCTTTTCCTTCAGGTAGTCACCAAGCTCTAGAGCATGTTGCTGTAGATTTTCATTCTCAATTATATCAAGAACTGCATTTGCCACACTGCAAGCCACTGGATTACCACCGTACTACAAGAAAAAAAAATATCACACAGCTGTTAATTCACAGAAGAATTAGAAATACTTTACACAATAACATGCATGTTATTTATGTTAAAATATTTTCTTTTTTAAATTCAAATCATTTTCTTTGTGTG